GCATGATCGCACCGGTTAGTCTGGTGCGCGTTGCTATTTATTTCCCTTTCATTTCTTTTTCCCTTCCGGTGTTGTTATATTAATCACTTTTCCTCTGTCTTTTATTTCAGAATACAGTCGTCTTGCTGTCGTTAAAAATTCAATATTTACTAACTTCTCTCTGTTGTCGACTTCGTTTTGCTGGCTCACAGGCAAACGTGCTTGATTTAAAAGTTGCTTTTTGGAGGATATCTTCTCCAAAATTTCGAGTTGCTTTTTACGCTCATCAGAAACAGAAGCTTCGTTCGGTTCATACTACAAGAGAGCAATTTTCAGCTAACAGAATAATCATTAAAGCACATGAAAAAAATTATGCCCGCAGCCCATGTCGCTAAAAAAGAGCATCCAAACACTTTAGGATGAAAAACAGAGCATTAAACTTGAGATTAACCTTGTGATGTTTGCCCGTTTTCAGTAGTTTTTTCTCATTTTTCACTTCTGGCTGGAAAGCACCATGTGACGCCGTTGCAAAGCGAGCTCTGTTGATTTGGTTCACAAGCTGCAACTAACAGAATCACTAATACCGCAGTCCAAGAACCGTGTAGTTGCCCACCAAAAGAAGAAAAAAAGGTAAAAACAAAATCCATTCCCAAAAATCCGGACTTTCAGGTAGGGATATAGGACAAACTGAAAAGTTTGCCACCAAACCCTGTCCGATCTTGCTTGGCACCTTTATAATGGAAATATAATTATTCGCAATAAATTTAATATCAACTGGACGCCTCACAAGTTGAACGTGAAGATCAGCAGAGTTGGCGAGTTGCGTGGAAGTAATACTTAGAAATTTTTGGAATAAAAAAATACTAGTACACTGAAGTATAAACAAGTCGCACGAGTATTAATAGATAGTACTTGCATTAATAAGTGGTACGGATCAAGAATTAAGTCGGCACCGAAGAGTTGACATATGTGTAGCCCTGGCTAACAACTAAGCTTAGAACCGAAAGATCTGGCATAAAAGCATCCCCCAGTAACAGCACTAAC